GCTCAATCTGGGAACTGCAAGAACTTGCAGAAGGAGAAGCTGCCTGAAAACCTGCTGTCGGACCTGAGCCTGCAGAGCCTGACGGCACTCACCTCCCAGGTGGAGAACATCTCCAACACCGTCCAGCAGCTGCTGCTCTCCAAAGCTGCCGTGCCCCAGAAAAAAGGCATCAAGACCCCAGCGAGGACCCCAGAGCAGCTCAAGGGGCAGCACTGCAGCCCTGAGAGCAGCACCTACTCGGCAGAGCAAGTGGGGACCCCGCTGTCCGACCCGCTGAGCACCCCACAGTCCGTCCATGCCGAGACACAGGATGCCGACTATCTCAGCCGGTCCAGGATGCCGACTATCTCAGCGGGTCAGAGGACCAGCTGGAGAGGAGTTTCCTGTACTGCAGCCAGAACCGCAGCCCTGCCCGTGTCAACAGCAACTCCAAGGCAAAGCCCGAGTCGGTGTCCACCTGCTCTGTGACCTCTCCAGATGACATGTCCACCAAATCAGATGACTCCTTCCAGAGCATCCACGCCAGCCTGCCCCTGGAGACCTTCACCAAGTATGTCACCAATGAACGGGACTGTCCCCGACTGCTCCTGAGCGCCCTGTCCCAGGAGGAGCTGGCTTCTGAGATCATCGTCCTGCAGGACGCCATCAACGAGAAGGCAGACAAAGCCTGGGCCAACTCACCCATGCTGAGCAAGGAGGCCACCAAGTCCCCCTTCCAGCTGGAGAACCACCGGCCCTGCCTGGACTCTATGGTGAAGGGTGCCTGGCCCAGCCAGGGTGACTCCAGCACGCTCACTGAGCCCCTCAAGCTGGACAAGGCTTCGGGGGCCAGCACAGGGAAGGACTTTAGTGAGGAGGTGTATGAGGGTCCCCAGGTGGAGTTCACAGCTGCCGAAACCAAGGATGCACTGAAGGACGCTGCTCCTCTGGCCTTCAACTCCAAACCCAGCATCCCAGCAGCGACATCGAGCGCAGGGGCCACCAGCTACAGCTGCTACTCGAACACCACCGCCAACTCGGTGGGGTCTGAAAATGCCATGGAGCACTTTGAGTGGCCGGAGGAGAGCCTGGGCGAGGCGTGCCTGCGGTGGAAGGAGCTGCAAGCCACCGACCTCCCCAAGGGCTTGTTCCCCAGCAAATCAGTGGGCTCCTGCAAGGAGAAAAAAAATGCCTGCAGCTTGGATCTGTGTGACGGCGAACAGCCGGCCAAGAGCGAGCCAGCCCGGGACTTTGAACAGCAGGCGATGGAAGAGGAGGAGGAGGAGACGCTGACCTACGATGAAGCAGCAAAGGCAGACAGTGAGAGGTGGCTGCAGGACACCCGGCACTGCTGCTCAACCGGGGACTTCAGTGAGATCCCCATCATCTCCTCGCCGGAGCTGAAGGAGTCAGACCTGGAGGCAGAGGAGTACTCCTCGCTCTGCGAGCTGGCCGGCTCAGAGCAGAAGTTGGTGACGTACGATGCCTTGTCACCCAAGCCCCCAGAAATGCCC